CTCCCCTAGGATTGTAAGTTTTTGTTGTCGCGTGTTTTCTGGCCCCAGCCATATGTCATTGGAAAGGGAAACTGGGGTTACTTCCTGGAAGATAATGGTAAAACCCAGGACTTTGTTCTGAGATTAGGGAGGTGATAATATTAATAATGAAAAAGAAGTCCATAAATAACAGCATAAAGTCTCATGTATTTTCCTGAGGCTTTGTCCTGTGGACAAATTCTCTGGTGAGTGATAAATTCTGTGGCCTGATAGTGACTGAAACTCCTCTGCATCCACAATAGCCTCGGAATTTTCCCGTGGGTCCCTCAGGGAAGAGGAGTGTGTCCTTCCTCTCTAGTTACCAGTCTGCACAAAATATCTAGAAAATACTGATGTGCTGTCAGATTTGCTTGAAATTGGCCAACAGATCCAAGTGATGTTTGGGAGGATGAATGTGGGAGAGGAGAGTGGTTGTCTGCATAGACAATGTTTTCCTTTAGAGCAACCTGTTAGAGAAAGGCAGGTGGTTTAATTGGGGATAATAGATGAGCAGTGTCAGCATGCCTCCTCCACGAGGTGACAGTTACAGGGGTGGTTAGAGAGAAGACAGATTTAGTGTTCAACTGTTCCCCTCCCGTGATTCCCACTGAAAGACGCGCTAGTGATCCAGAAAGCCACTCTGTGCACGTGCAGTTTGCTTTGCCCCAAATTCACCCCTTTCTTAAGGTCATGAATGTTGCAGCGGGGCTGTGTTGCAGCAAGGATTCATTTTGATCTTGAGGGACGTGGCAGCAAAACAGGGTAAATCATCAAAGGAATTTAAAGCATTGTATGGTAGTTGTAACATGGTGGTTGCTAGTCAGAATGGACGCAGACCTAGTTCATAGCTTGACTGAGGCTAGCAGCGCTCTGGCTAGTGCTCTGTTGAGCTAAGGCTCGGAAATGCTTTCCCTTTAAGCCCTTTCCTAAAACACCTGTCTCAAACCAACACATTCTTTTGGATCTCCTCCTGGAAAGCTTGATGGGAAAATATAAAAGCTCTTTCCTCTCCTGTACTGGTGTAAAGCTTTACAAAACAGCACTCGTTGCCCTCAGGAATACTTGTTCATAAAAATGCAAGATTTAAAACTTAGCATCACTTGTGTTCCTCACAGAGAACTTCTCTTTGGGAAGTAATACCACCTTCCAGACTAGGTGAGAGCAAGACGTTTTCTGGCAGCATCTATCATGGGAAAGCTTTGCACTTCTGTACAGACCAAGGGCTCGTTGCAAGGGGAGTTCAGCATAGCAAGGAAACTGTATTAGAAAAGGAAATAACGTGAGTGCTTTTGTGTAGCAGAGCTGTCAGCTGATGGCCGGAGCTTTGACCTGTCAGCGAGGTTGCTTTATCAGGTCATACGTTAACAGGTCGCTAGCTTGGGTATATGGCAGGGATGTTTGTTACCAGAGATTGCAAAAGAAGGAGGGACATTTGCATCAGACCTCAGTGAAGCTTTTTAGAGCGCAGATAAGGACTGGACAGATTGCAATGCAGAGCAGCACCAGCTGCAAGGCAGGGACACTTCTCTTGGGCCTGGCCCAAGAACATTCTCCATAATCACAGGCTTAGTGTAAGTGTTGTGAGACATGCAAGTGGTGGTGGGCTCACAAAATACTGCCACAGCGCTGAGTCAGGTGAGCGGAACATCAGTGGCAAGTACAGGAGTTTACCTTCTAAACATCTTCAGTGTTGAATTGCAGTGTTCTAACTTGAAGTCCTTTTTTTTTTAAACTTACAAACCTCTTGAGACCAAGTATCTACAGCAATAAGTGACACAGCACTCTCACTCTGGCAGAAGGGAAAGCCAGAGAGAGATGGATTGCCATGATTTAAAAATTTAAAGTTGCTACTCTTAGAGACAGTTGTAAATACTTGAACTGATTGGAGCAGTCCCAGATCAGAGTCAGATTTGTGCTGGTTTAATTTCCCCAACAGATGACAATTTGTACAAGATTGAGGCTGTACTAAATAAACCATTTCCTGTGGTAACTTTTAAGAGGAAACATGTTGCCCATACTGGTCATCTTGCACAGTATCCTTATCTGAAAGGAACAAATACGTGTTTTCCAACAAATATCTTTTCCATAACACCTCTAGCTTAGTGGCTTTGCGCTCTTTACTTTTACACTTGACTAACTTTCCCTCTGTCACTTCATTATTTCCAAGTACTGTCAGCTTTACAGTGGGATTTGCTAGCACTGGGGGAGGTACTTTGCTTGCTGAGCAGCCCACAAGTCAATGCAGAACATGAGTTCTGAAAAATCGGGGTTATTTCTTGTTTAGAGCAGCTAATAAAACTGGGAAATAAGTTTATATTTAAACAAACAAACAAAAACCCCAAACCAATACCCAGACACTCTGAGCCACACAACTCGGGTCACTTCAGCATTTGTAAAATAAGGAACTTGTTTGTTTGTTTGTTTGTTTGAGCAATTACCAGCGTTGCTTAACTCATGGTTTATTTGTTCTATGTGAATTTCTCAAGACATTTATTTACTAAGGCAGTGTTCTTAAGCCAGACTGCACCTGAACTAGCCCGGTGCTGCAGATGAGGAAACAGCATTTTAAAAAAATAAATTAGGTGCCACAGGGAACGTCTATGTGGCAGGGTTGGGTTGGGGTTTTTTTTTTTTTTTTACAAGTTGTTTTCAAAATGTTCCTCTTCCATGGAGCAACCACCCCAGCCACAGTGGTATTACTGGGTCACTGTCTATGCCAGGTGAGGCACTCCAGAAAAAAAAAATGTATCAAAATTTTCTTTGCAGTGTTTCTTTGCAGTGCCAAACAGAAGAATTACAGCAGAGTTCATCAGGCAAACCACGTTATAGGAGAGGTGACCGTAAGTTACTCAAGGAAATGTCTCAGTTTTGCTATTTATTGTTTTTTAAAGGCTCAGCAAAAAATGAAGCAAGCCGTGAGACTGGACTAGTTTTAACTGGGCTGGACTGTGTTACCGTAAGGGAGGCTCAGGCAGCAGCTGCACTCTGATGACTCGCTGTACCTTAAGCTCTCTTCAGGACAAGTGAACAAATCGCCCTGTGACAGACCGTTTATTGTATTTATTCCATCAGAAGATAAGCACATGTGGTGCTATGTCAGGTGTGGATTAACTCTCTTTGGAGAAAGTTAGGGGTTTTTTTTAAAAAGAAGAAAGAATAAGTGGAGATGAAGAAAAGGCTCACCTGGCTTTCTGCAGACTCCAGTTCTGCCTGTGTTAGCGTGTTTCAGTTCTAACTTGAAGAAGCTCCTTTTGGGCAGTGAAAGGGACACAGCAGTGCAGCTGTGAAAGACAACAGGTGACCTTCCTCAGCAGTTAGCCAGCTCTCAGTGTTGCAGGACTATCGCCTATTTAATGTCACTGCTGAAACTTGGCTCTGTAGGATGTGCAGGCTGGAGTACAAACTCCCTTTCTAAAAAGCAGTGGAGTCAGAGTATTTTACTCTTAAGCTAGAAGCCTTCCTCTGCAAAAGAAAATTTAACCCCCTGCTACCACTGATGAGGAGTTACACAAAACCTACTTTATCCTGCAGTGACTCGATTCCCTTTTGAGTATTACAGTTCTGCCCAGCAGATTCTGTACTTGTCGCTTTCCTGATCATTTACTGTCCCCCCCATGACACCTTCACTCGTCAAACGTATCCAGCAGATTTTAAACACTTTATTTAATAAAAGTTAAACATACAAAACTGAAATTAACACACTTTGTATTCATAAAAATCACCTTCTCCCATTATAGGGAGAACCTTTTTCTATGTATGGATTCTAAACTACCAGTTGTAGAGTTTAGCTTGAGTTGTGACTCAGGTAACTGATGGACATTTCCACCAATCAGTGCATCAACAATTGCTGACATGACCTGATCTAATTAACAAATTACAAAATGAGCTACATTAACATAATATACAGGGAAATAATGGTCAGGGTTAATGGACAAGAAACACCCTTTAATTATGTAATGGGGGAAACAGGTGATGTACTCTTGTCCATTAACTCAGCCCTAGATTTTACAAAAATAATATCTACATTGTTTACAGGGCTACCCATTAACTTCTTTAAACACATTACGGGTTCAGAGATGGCACCACTACCGTCAGTGAGAGACAAGTAACAGAGGAAAGCAAATCACAGATGAAATACAAGAAAGCAAGAGCTTTTACACGTGGTTTCCTGAATAAAACTGAAGGGGCTGAGCAGCACTGTAGTACAGCTGAAGTGACATTGAACACTAGGGCCAGGCAGTTATTTTAAGGATAGAAACTGCAGATGAACCTTGACTCCCTCACAACTCGGTGGGATGGAGACATTCCTGTCTGCTGCAGTTCTACTCGACCAGAAGGAGGAGGCCCAGGCTACTCCAGGTCTGTGACCGTACCATCAAACCTGCAACGTCTACAGAGGGGAGATGATGGCTTCTTTCCAAAGCACAACCATTTTATGTTCTCCCAACTCTCTGATCCTTGGGGCTGGGTGGGTATTTTTAACCACAGTTCTCTACTTTGAAATTGGAGTCTAAATGTCTTGTCCTACGGTTTTCTGGTTACCTTTCAATAACCTCCTATTAAAATTTGATGAGTATTTAAAAACAAACAAACAAAGAGTATCTCCTCTGCTTAACTTCTAGCACAGGAAACTCAGAGTGGAATTAAAGACAGATTTACTGTATGAACAGCACATGAATCATCATCAGTAATAAAGATCCTATCATCGGCCCTGTTCTGCCCTCATTTGCAGCTGTACAAATGGATCCTCCGTGGATTTGTAAGGAGTAATTTAGAGCTTCCTTAGCAATCCCGTGTGACGTACAAGCTGTGAGGGAGTCCACCTCTCTCTCCCAGAGCTGTGGCGGCTCTGCAGTGCTGAGCTTGTCACTCAGACAGCACTGTGACTACGGAAACAAGGGAGGCTGTTACGGTGCCATTTTTATACCACCACTTTTCTTATGGAAAAAAACCCCCAACAATCTTCACTACTAGTACAAAGGGAAGATTCCAGAGATCAAAGCTGCAGATAACTACTGCTTTCAGAGTGAAAGGTGACAGCAGTTCGTGAAAGCATTTACCTGCAGAATATATTTTAATGCAACTACGAAATGATTAGGGGGGGTCAAATCAATAGCTGAAGATTTAAGGCTCGTATCAGCTGAAGCCAAAGTGATGGTGACAAAATGGACTACTCGCTATGTGCCAACAAATAATTTACTTTTAGAAAAATATAATGATAAAAAGATAAGTGTAAAGCCCTGCAGAGATGAAGTTCCACCTTCTTCCCCTGTTACTGAGGCATCAAATGCCTGACATTATATTTAGAGGTATCTTGATACTGTGTCATCGGTTTGTCTGCAATTCCACATGTTCCAACTCCAACCTTGCCAGTTACGCTCTCAGGGGAAGCAAAAATACTCCTCTTTACCTGCAAAGGAAACAGAAAACACCATTCCTGAATAATTACTAACTGGATTTTAAAAACAAAACAGGCGATCATTATTGTTTGAAGTATTTCAATATCCTCAACTTCTTACCCTACAGACAAGCACACTTTCTAAAGGCTAACTCATCCACGACACAGAATGGTTTGGGTTGGAAGGGACCTTAAAGACCATCCAGTTCCAACCCTCCTGCCATGAGCAGGGACACCTTCCACTAGACCAAGTTGCTCAAAGCCTCATCCAACCTGGTCTTGAACACTTCCAGGGAGGGGGCATCCACAGCTTCTCTGGCCAACCTGGGCCAGTGTCTCACCACCCTCACAGGAAATAATTTCCTCCTAATATCTGATCTAAAACCACCCTCTTGCAGTTTAAAGCCATTTCCCCTTGTTCTCTCACTCCCTGCCCTTGTAAAAAGTCCCTCCCCAGCTTTCCTGCAGTCCTTCAGGTGTTGGAAGGCCGCTATAAGATCTCCCCAGAGCCTTCTCTTCTCCAGGCTGAACAGCCCCAACTCTCTCAGCCTGTCCTCACAGCAGAGCTGCTCCAGCCCTCGGATCATCCTCGTGGCCTCCTCTGGACTCGTTCTAACTGGTCCACGTCTTTCTTGTGTTGGGGGCTCCAGATCTATACACAGTACTCCAGGTGGGGCCTTACAAGAGCCTTACATGTTATCAGCCAGTCAGACAACGGAGGTGGGAACTACTGGCACCTACATACTGGATATGATCACGACACTCAGGACAATAACAAATAAAATTTGCCTTCCTCATAAAATGATCTCTAATAACTGTTCATAAGGAAGACTGAAGTTTTACCACTATGTCTGTCAGCTCTTGGTCAAGCCATGATGAAAATGGAATAAGGCTTTACAGTGTCCTTGCTGCCTTTGTTGCACTACACTTGCCATGCCAGGGCAGTTACTTCGCACTGACACGCGCAGCAGGAAGTCAGGCTTGGAGGTTTCGACAGGGCCCCGGTTCCAAGCTCCAACAAACACTACCTGTCAACTGACAGGGAGCCCAGCTCTCCAAGAAGAGCACTCCTCCAAAATCATCCAGTGCAAAACCAGGCCTTTTCAGTGTACAAAATACCATGCTGCATACTGCAGAATCCTGAAGATGAACCCCCTTTAAAAAACACCCCCCCGCCCCCCTTTCTCCAAGTACTGCACAGAAATGTACACCCTGTTGTCATTCACATACTGACAAAACCAAACCAACCTGGCCTTTTTTGTTTTTAGAATAGGCTCTGTTGTTAAACTGCTGCCACTTGACTTTCTGGTCCTCTCGTTCCTGTTCAAGTTCTTTAATTCTCTGAGCTTTTTTCAAAGCTTTCTTCTTTTTATACTCTCGCTGCTGGGCTATCATCTCTTTTCTGGAGAGAAGGAAAAAAGACATTTTATGTTTGTGCTTTTTCCTGTAAGGAACCAAAACCCCCATAATACAGACATGCACAACAGTTTCCCATAAGTGAAGTAACAAAAAACCAAAGCTTGTAAATATTCTCTTACACCAAAAAAACCCCCAAAAACCCAACAAAACAAACCAACCAAGTCTTTCCATACAAAAACATTACATTGCTTATCTATTTATTTGGGCATGAGTACAACAACAACCATCACCACCTGATTGAGAACATGCCAAACACAGCAACCCATGGGATCGAGTGAAATTCATTTCTGGAATTGAAAATGTACCCATTGGCACTTTCACATTTCAGAAACATCCAGGGATTGAAAATAGGAATAGCCCATTTGAATGAAAAGCCCAGACTTTTCCAGAGGTCTGCATGACTCTCATGTACCAAATACTGGACAGGGGTAGAAGGAAAAGAACAAAGATAAGTTACTTCAGTAAAGATAAGGAAGTTCAAAGAGTTGATCTATGCCACAATGCAGCGCCCCTGAGAACGATCCCTCAGGGAAGGGATCATTGCCTGTAACAAACTCTGAAATTGTACCACTCTGCCACTTAAAAAAAAAGGAAAAAAAATGTTTTCAGCCCTTAAAAATGCCTTTCTATGTCAGACACAGCAGGATACTGAGTAAAGCACAGCTCCCCAGTGACGGGGTCAACACAGCCACCCTGACACAGGGACAGGGCAGAGGCAGAGTCCTTCGTACTGCTGAGCATACTCCTGTGAGCCAGGTCACAGATCTGAGCAGAGCCTGCACTAGATCTGGGCTGAAACTTGCAGGATTTCTGCTCTCAACAGAAGAGCACTCACTTTTTCTTTTTAATCTACTGCTTACATACTTGACATCTTGAGATATTGTTATCAGAGTAAAACAAAGTCTGTTATGTTACCCTGCCAGGATACATATCACACATGACACCAGCCACAATAACCTGCCAAACATTACAAGCTGGATTGATTTCAGATCCTTTTTCAAGTGAACATGTGAAGACATTAAAGATATGTAAAATTTTTAAAAAGGGAGATGCTATTTCATTAACCAATCTTTATTGCTGGGGGGAGGGGGGGGGGGGGGAAGGAATATAAAGGAGCTTTCAGACTTCTGCCTGTGTATGACTTACTTGGACATGGGTTTGTTGCCACTGTCCTCTTTTGCTTTTCTTCCCTCTTCCACAGGCTTGAGGTTGAAGAGGGGGGTGACTTCAGCATTGCCATATCCAGCAAATGTGACCGCAGCTGTTCCATTCTCCTCGTCTATTTCTTCAATCTCAGCTTCATAACACCTGTAAAGATATCATGGCTGTAAGCATGTGAGTAAAGCTTTAATACTCAGCCCTTCAACACCTACACTGTCAGCCAGCTAATGGCATTCAGTAAAAAATCTGCAAACATTGGCCTTCATTTTCAGGGACAATGCATAAATCAATCCAAGAGATTTTTATTTTCTTAAGGTCAAAGGGACACAAGTACAGAGACTGGAGTCTGCTCTATTTGAACTTTAGCATCAAGAAGCAATGGCCTCACAGTTATCAAGACTAATGATTAATGCTGGGGCCAATCTAATCAGATATCCTGATTTGGTTTGAGTTCTGGCAGGTCATGGGAAGGAGCAAAAAAAGACCCAACAAAGTATCACATTCCCAGAACGCGGCTCTCGGGGAATTTACCCAGGCGTCTCGGAAAACGTCAGCTCACAAGAGCAACTTTTCCTCCATATGAAAAAGAATTTAAAAAAAACCTGAAGCTTTTAAAATATTCCCTTTGCAACACTTACAAAATCAAAAGTTTTCTTATTGATTTAAAACAGTGATTTTGAAATTTTAGCAGAAATCAGTCCATTTCATATTTATTTGTATGAAACATTTTGGTGAAACTGACCTCAGAATGGGAAAGGGGAAAAAAAGAGACAAGTGACAATTCCAGAAGTATTTAAAATAACTGAGTCTAAATTCAGAGCAAAAGGATCCATCTAAAGCAAATGGAGGAATAAAATGAGATGTTTCATAAACAATATTCCAGTTAACATTTACTAAAATAATTTTTTGTGTGATTTTTAGTGGGCCAACACCATCTTGAGTTGAGCTAGATGAAAATACATGGAAACCCAAAATGCATGAGGTAAAAAGTATTAATCTCTGGCTAGCTCTTCGTTAAACACTGGCCACTTAAGAAATGTTTTAAGAAATGCAGTGGGTTAAAAAAAACCAACCAAACAAAAAAACCCAAACAATTAAGTCCAATAAGACCCACTTCAGTGGACACTAGCACTTTCTTCCCCAATCTCTGATGCTCTAACCCAGTGACCAGAGCAAGAAGAACGACCCAGTGGTGACCTAAGACAGTAACATTCAATTTTTAAGTTCTTACACAAAAGCACCTTAGTCATTAATAACCTGTGACAGAAAAACCGTTCACTTTGAGGCTTGTTTGCAACCCAAGACATCAATAGCTATACCAAAATCTGTGTGGCTACTACATTGGTAAGAGAACCAAACTGACTGAACAACAGAGCTTCTCCCTGAGTGGTAATGACTGGGACATTAGTCCTGCAGAAACTTACATTTTAAAAAAGCTGCAAATTAAACATTTTTGCAGGATAGAAAGTAATTTTAGAATGTTTATTTCAAAGATTACAAAGTCAGAATGAACTGCTTGGGTTCCCAGAATGTCACAGGCTGACGTAAAGGAGACTAAATCCAAAAGGTCGATTAACTCCACAGTTACATTACACAGCTTGTAATTTCATAGCAAAAAACAGCATTTCCAATTCAAAATTAATTTCCAATTAGTGGCACAAACTGAGATCCAGCAAGGATTTTTCTTGATAGCAATCAATTACATATAGATGAACACAGTAACTAATTATGAATTACTCATCCTGAAACCTTTACCAAAGGCTGCTCTGACAGATGAATTAATGAAAGTCTGCTATTTATTACGTTAGCAAATGGTAATTTACCAGCACCACCCTGCTGTTACAAGGTTAGTTAGTGACAAACAGGGCATTTCTAGAAAATGACCCCACACTGCTTTGCTTTTTATCCAAAATATTGACCTTTAATAAAGACAGTACAAGAATACCCAATATAATATTTCTCCCCTAATTTATTTTTGCTTTTAGTCACCCTAGGGGCAGTTCAAACTGAATGAAAGTTTCTTACCATTGAACTATTTCATGTAACTGTTAGAGAAGTTTCTACACTTACTGTCCATCCTCACTCCATATCGCCATACACCTATCTCCAACCTTCCAGGAGTGACTGGGCAGAGCAGAAGCAGAACTGTCAGAACTTGCAAGAGTTTCTGAAGGTTGTGTTGAAAGGAGATCTTTGGTTAATTCTATGACTTCCTATAAAAGACAAAAAAACCCACAAAGAATAATTTTTCAAACTCAACTGTTACCAGGCATATTTTTACCTCAAACTTACTGGTTTGGTTTTTTTTGAAGTTACTGTATTAAATTCATAGCTGATGTAAGGTGGACTAAGTTTGTTTTGGTGGGGTTTTGGGTTTTTTTTTTTTACCATTTAACTAAACTGACTCATTTCCAACATAGATAAAAAGATGTATTGTCCTTGCTGTACTGCAGTAAAGTTGCCCACGCCCTCCTCAAAATTTCACAAAGTAGCCCATTATTTTTATGCTATTTCCTTCTAGCTGAATTGTTTATCCACAGGCACAAAGACACAGCTGGACAGTCTCAAGAAAGAAAAAAATCAAGGGTGTGATTCTATACACGTGGCTGCAAGTGCCACTTGTTACTGACAAAAAAAATAAAGAGAAAAAAAAAGGCACAACCTGTGGCAGAGTATTCAGCAGAAAAAAAACAATGCTCTGAAGACAGAACATGAAAGGACATAAAAGTTTTATTCTCTCTCTAGATGGCAGTTCCCTCCACCCCTTCCCATTTGGGACTGACTAGCTACATCATATATAGTAATCTCTAAAATACACAACTGCAAGGACAATTGCAGCATTTCTAAGGGATGAAATATTCTCAGTTTACTCAAAAATACGTGGAGTGGCTGAACTGAAGCACCCAGAGCCAGGGTGGAAGACAGCCTTCCAAAACTGCCACTCTGTAAAGCCCTCTCATTTACAGAAAGCACTCAGAGGCACACTAAAGAAATTGACTTCCTTACATCATTTTGATGTGTTTGTTTTTCCTCTAAATTCCCTGACCTTAAGATTTCAGGTCAGGCCTTCCTTTGCTATTCTATCCAACAAGACAACAAAATAACAAGTTTTTCCAGTTGTTTTAATGCAAAAGCCCCTCCCCAACCTCCTGTCAATGTTACAAACTCTTCCTGATCAAGCCCACTGGTTTTCTCTGGTGTTAAAAGTCAAAGGAGCCAGCACCTAAAGGGCCACTTAAACTTTCTGTGCAAGGCAAAGCAACTCTGCAGTCCTCAGTAGAAAAGTTCTTTAGTTCTTCGAGTATCTCAGCATGAAACACTGTCACTCTCCTAACTACCAGTAAATATTTAAATGAGGGGAGGGTTACAGATAAACAGTGTTCAACTGAGGCTCAATGGAGCCTGAACTTTCCTGGTGGTTTCACATCCCAGTTCACTATTGGGTACAAAGACTAGCTCAGGAAAAAGCAGTAAAGCTGATTTCAGCCCTCAGGAACCTAAAGGATCATAGGCAGTTCCCAAATAAGAAGTTAATACAACATTAATTTACTTGCATTTTTATCTGATGAACTATTCAACTGGCATGAATGGCCTAACAGTTTGTTTCTGTTGCAGCTGTTAATGTCTAAATTTCCAACACCTTCCTAACAAAGGTTCTGCTCTTTGTTTTAGAGGAGCTGCTAGTGAGTAAGTGCAACAGTAAGCACAGTCAGTAGCAACTGCAAGCAGAGAAATGTGCTTACAATTGCTTCTACTACTTTGGTCTCCATTTTCCATAATTCTACAGCTGAACCAGAACAGACTTTGATTATCAAGTTACTAATTTGAGAGCTCTCTGCAGAACATACAGCATGAGCCTAACTTTTCCCTCCCAGATGCAAAATTCCAAACTATTCCTCAACATATAGACAGCTGTATTCTGCAAATCCAAGAAGCATCATGGTTTGAAGTAGGTATCTTATCTCAGCAGGTGAAATACAATACAACAGGCACAAGCTACCTAAAAGTGAGGGTTTCAGCTACATAGACTACCAGGAATATGGAAATGTTGACTTACTCTTGCCACATTCCTAGATGGCTTAGGGTAGAACTCAAATGTGAACAATTTCACACAAGTCTGTCAAGGATTCTTTGAATTTCATGAAGTCACTTAAACACCAAGGCTACAAAGAGCTCACTCTTGGTAAAAATCTTCATCTGATATCCACATATCATAGTGCTAAGCACACAAGACAGGAATATTCATTTGTATTGCTACCTGTGAGGCAGTTCTAACGTCTTTAACAGAATAGTTCATTCAAAGACAATTTCTGAGCACGAGCTGGACTACCACAGCAGCTCAGGGCAGCCACATGGGTTGAACAATGTGGTTTGATGCCACATCCCTGTCACATGAAGGTGTGACCCACCAGTTAGAGTTGGCCAAGTTTTTTCCTGCCCAACAAAACCAGCTGGAGCTCTACACTCCAGAACACAATGCCCACAGATATCACCTCCAATTACAGAAGATGACAGCTGCCATCAATTCTACTTGATACAAAAGGTAGGTTTAGTCCTTGGGTACATAGACACTGCCCTGGAAGCACTTCATCGAAACAAAAGGTGAAAAGCAAAGTATTTATAAAAAGTTCTTGTAATATTTATTTTAATCTTGTTGCTCAGGAATAAGTTGAGTAACTATATAACTATTTCTGACAGAAAAAATGTTTCAATTGCATTGTAACAATATTTTTTAACTGATTTGAAAGCTATTGTACATTGTAACAATCTTTTTTGAACTAATTTGAAAGCTATTTGGTCAGGACACTGAAGCATTGAACCCTTTTTTACAGTTGTCAGGTTGGCATATATATTAAGTCTGCAAAACATTACGTCATTTTCAAGGTGGAACATATGGATAGCAAACCTTTTGGGGACGAAAGTGTAAAGATCTTCCCCATTCTGTGCAGAAAGCTTTTATTAAAAAGTTTGCAAGTTGTCCTTTCACATCAATGATCTCTGCATATCAAAGCCGAGGTCGTGTTGGTATCGGAAATATCATCCTATATGGGTTTTGCTGTGCATTTTAAAAATATAAAAATATACACATGCTTTTAACAGTGTACAACAAAGGACATTAAGATGATCTATAAAGTGCCTTGTGGGTGCAAAGCCTTTATAATTTAAAGGGAATTCTAAAGATCACCAGTTTGAGGCATTGCCTGTACTGTGGTTGAAGCATCACTTTCACAGAACAGCGGTTGCTGAATCTTGTGCTGGGTTGTTTGATGTGTTTTTAGATCTGATGGCTGAAGCAATCCACAACAGAAATGAAGCAGCATCTTGCACTCTCATGACAAATTTCAACAGTACTGCTGTTTTGTTTGGTTGGGTTGTTTTTTTTTTAATATGCCAATGTGTCTTTATATGCACGAGAATCTAAAAGGCCACTTAGCAACTTAAAATTAGGCTGTGATCTTCCCGTCACCAAACAATACCCTAAGGAATGGAAATGGTTTTTAGCTCCTAACAACATGGTATGCTCTCAAATGTTTAAAAAACAGCAGGTGGCAAACAAAGAACACTACTTCTTTCCTTTCTTATAAAAAAACCTTAATGCAATCAAGGCTTAGACATCCAAGGAATGCTGAACTACATTCTGAAGTGTTTATCCTTGCAAATGTGTGCAATGAATAAACAGATTCTGGATCAAATTATCTGACAACTCAAAATAAGCAGAAATGCAAAATGTTCAGCCCAACCATCAGGCTTCAGCATAGTAAGAGCAACAAAAAATAATTACTTTCTAAGGCCAGGCTGGATGAGGCTTTGAGCAACCTGGTCTAGTGGAAGGTGTCCCTGCTGATGGCAGGGGGGTTGGAACTGGGTGAGCTTTAAGGTCCCTTCCAACCCAAAACATTCTGTGATTCTATGAAATGCTTTTAAAAAAATAAAGAGAGAGATGGTAAAGACAGCACTGGCATATCTTTCATCACTCTGGCTAAAGTTTTTAGGAGAAGGGTTTGCTATAGAAATTAGTTTTAAAAACAGGTTGAAAATAGGCCATATTTAGTTGTTGTTTTTCCAAACCAACCCCACCATAATGGTACTAAATTATGTGAAAAGAAAAGAAAGGAAAAAACCCACCAAGTAGGTATTTTGGTTGGAATGCAAACATTTAGGAAAAATAAAGCATTTGCTAAAGACCCTGAAGTTTCAGCTGCTCATACTCTCACCTGTAAGTCCTTCTTCAGTTTTAGTAAGTCTTCATTTTCTGCATTCCCAGATAAGGCAGCCTCAACTTGCTGAAGCTGAGCTTTGTAGCTAGCTAACTGCTTAGCAAGGTCCTCCGACATCTGCAAGAAACACACACACACACATCACATCACGACAACAGGCTTGCTGCCTTTTAGGCACATCTTGTGGCACAAGTGAAACTGGCAAGTAAGGAACATGAAATGCTACGACTTAAATATTACAACTAGGAAGTTTCAGTCACACACTATTTGACTATAGATGGCTACTCACCTTAATTTTTGTGCTGTTCAGCTGCTCCCAAGCAATTTCTAAAAATAAAAATAAATAAAAATAAAAATAA